TCATCATCATCATCATCATCATCATCATCATCATCATCATCATCATCATCATCATCATCATCATCATCATCATCATCATCATCATCATCATCATCATCATCATCATCATCATCATCATCATCATCATCATCATCATCATCATCATCATCATCATCATCATCATCATCATCATCATCATCATCATCATCATCATCATCATCATCATCATCATCATCATCATCATCATCATCATCATCATCATCATCATCATCATCATCATCATCATCATCATCATCATCATCATCATCATCATCATCATCATCATCATCATCATCATCATCATCATCATCATCATCATCATCATCATCATCATCATCATCATCATCATCATCATCATCATCATCATCATCATCATCATCATCATCATCATCATCATCATCATCATCATCATCATCATCATCATCATCATCATCATCATCATCATCATCATCATCATCATCATCATCATCATCATCATCATCATCATCCTCATCATCATCATCATCATCATCATCATCATCATCATCATCATCATCATCATCATCATCATCATCATCATCATCTCATCATCATCATCATCATCATCATCATCATCATCATCATCATCATCATCATCATCATCATCATCATCATCATCATCATCATCATCATCATCATCATCATCATCATCATCATCATCATCATCATCATCATCATCATCATCATCATCATCATCATCATCATCATCATCATCATCATCATCATCATCATCATCATCATCATCATCATCATCATCATCATCATCATCATCATCATCATCATCATCATCATCATCATCATCATCATCATCATCATCATCATCATCATCATCATCATCATCATCATCATCATCATCATCATCATCATCATCATCATCATCATCATCATCATCATCATCATCATCATCATCATCATCATCATCATCATCATCATCATCATCATTCATCATCATCATCATCATCATCATCATCATCATCATCATCATCATCATCATCATCATCATCATCATCATCATCATCATCATCATCATCATCATCATCATCATCATCATCATCATCATCATCATCATCATCATCATCATCATCATCATCATCATCATCATCATCATCATCATCATCATCATCATCATCATCATCATCATCATCATCATCATCATCATCATCATCATCATCATCATCATCATCATCATCATCATCATCATCATCATCATCATCATCATCATCATCATCATCATCATCATCATCATCATCATCATCATCATCATCATCATCATCATCATCATCATCATCATCATCATCATCATCATCATCATCATCATCATCATCATCATCATCATCATCATCATCATCATCATCATCACATCATCATGATCCTCATCAGCATCATCATCATCATGCTTATCCTCATCCTCACCCTCCTTCTTTTTATTATCATGATCCTCATTATCCGGCAGACAGAGAGAAACTCAATTCTGCCATGATTGAATTAAAGTTGCGCACGGAGAATGGAGAATCAAACCTCCGTATTGTACATTTTGGAATAGTTGCCCGGGTTCCTCCACGAATGCGGAGCAACTGGTTGCTAATACATCACGCGCCCAGCGAGTCCTACCGCGGTCTGCGCGTAGCCTTTACCAACGTATGCAGTCTGATGAACAAGCGCGATGTGCTGTACGACTTCGTAAGCTCTCAGCGACAGGACGTATTAGGTCTTGCTGAGACATGGTTGAACTCCGAGATAAACGCCCAAGAAGTGGAAATCACCGACTACTAATGCTTCCGCTGTGATAGACCATCAAATGATCGCGGTGGCGTTCTACCTTACATAAATTCTTCCTTGTGTGGGAGACTAGTGAGCGC